GCACTTTTCGATGCTCGAAGAAGGTGTTCATAATGGACAATCCGTTGTTTGCACAAAACCGCAACAAATTCATGCCGTCATTGTTTATGTCGCTGAGCCCGTCGTATTTCCAATCACGCCTTTCCACCTTCCAGTATATACTCCGACATGCGCATTAAAATCGCCCATGAGTATGAGAACTTCGTATTCGGCACTTCGTACATAGCACACTTCGTACACTGGCTCAACGATGGAATCATATTCTTTCTCGAAGTTGGGCGCGTGGACCTTTAAGAAGGTCAAAGTTTTAGCCCGCTGTAGTTTCAGTTGCAGAATTGCCACCCTTCTGCTGACAGACTTCCATTCAATGATGGTATGAGCTATATTGTGTTTTGCCCAGAACGCCAACAACTGCCGGAGTTCGCGTAGTTATATCGACAGCTGAGTAGAATACCTTTCAGCTGCGGAGTTTCGGAATTCCATATCCTCAGTGCTTCGTTGACGAAAGTTCAACAGTGTCGAGTTGGTGCTTTATGGCCTCATCTACTCTTCGACTAAACTGTTGGTGTTTAAGTCGATCTATATCCCTATGCTTGCCTATTGTCATGAGTCGTGGATGATGACTGAAAATCTTCGATCCTGGGTAGAAGCGGCTTAAACGGATTTTCTGAGGGTTGTGCGAATGCCTTGAGAAAGAAAGCGAAACAGCTGTTTCTTGTCTAACCGACCGGTCGAGAATCCCTGTTGACCGCTAAGAATACTCTAGGATAGGTTTCTCGGCATAATTTGCTACAGATTCTGCTGAAACTCAAACACTGGCACAAGATCGGGATTGTTGGATACCGTGTCCCACGCGTCTGTCTCCCAGACGTGGAAGGATGTGCTGGCATCAAAACTGAATGACTGATATTTACAGGTGTTTTTTCCGATTGTGGCATCTCAGACTATGTTATGTCATGAAAAAACGTGTTATAATGCATTGTTTCTGTAATCATAGTAAAAAATGACATAAAATTTGTTATTCATGCTAAATGCAGTACAGCCTTCTCTTGAGTGATAGAGCAATACCATAGTTTTGATCCTATTTCACGGGCCTCCTTCAAGGTTTTAGAGTCGGCTGTTCGCTTCCAAGCAATCAGCTGCACTCCCTTCTTTGCCACTTTATTGTTAGCAAATGTTTTATTTCGTGTGTTACTTAATTGCCGACAGTCATTTTTTAATGTTGTTTTATCTCGTAGTAATGTATTTGTCCTAAAGTCGGTAAGAAACATTTTCCGGCATTACATAAATGATCACAATGCTGCTCTGTGCAGATTTTCGGATTAGTCTTTGCTCAACAGTATAAATTGTTTAAAGCTGTATTTTTAGCAGCCGTTTTTATTTGGTCCTTTTGTCTTTATAGGTCAGCGCGAAGCGGGCGCAGCTCTGGTGTCAGTCTAAAAACGATATACCCTATTTTGAGGTGTCCGCGAAGGAAGCTATAAATGTCGAGCAGGCGTTTCAGACCATCGCTCGAAACGCTCTGCAGCGAGAGAGCCAAGAAAGTCCAGACCTTTACAACGACTTCCCGGATCAAATCCGTCTGAACGCGCACGTGAATCCGAGCCAGCAGTCCAGTTCATGCAACTGTTAGAGCGGAGACGACCCGTCCGTCCGTCATGAATCGAACCGAATTCAATTTATCTACATTCACCATTATTTGTGTATAATTATTTTCTTCTTTACCGATCCATCGTTCATAACCTCTCGGTTTTGAAAACAGTTTATTAATTTTCCTAATAAAATTTTTTGTGTTTCTGAATTAATTCGTCTCTTTGTTAACAGTTATTTGTTTCTTTTCGTCGTTTTGGAAGGCTTAGTTTTTTCCATTTCTAAACACATATATTGAATTTAAACAATAAACGTATTTGTGAATTTACTTAAAAGTAAGTACGGCTTGATATTCTTCATAACGGTGTTTTGAAGATTTCATTTGGCAGTAGGCGTCAGTATATGATTCACTGTATCACTTTAAATTGAAATCAAGTCATGTACGGGAGTAAAAGCATTTAACGATGAAAACTCGTCGAACCAAAAAAGTATTACTGACCCCAGAAGTGACCAGCTTACTAAGCTGTGCTGTGCTAATGATTAATTTGTTGCTCGATGCATTTAATTGAATACTCATAAAGTGAACGCAAGGGCGTCATCTGTATTATGTCCTAAGTAGAACGGCAAAATGTTCTGGTCCTTCGTACTCTCGGAACGTTGGCATTTTTTCGAAAACTGTAATGAAAGAATAAATGTGTAAAATCATAAAAGAAAAAAATGAGCGCCACCCGCTACTGAGATTGTCCAGGGGGTAGAAACACCGTCGTAAACAGCCACAAAGTCAAAAACGCTGTAACATCTGTAAATGGTTGACTGTTCTGCTTGAAAGCGTTTCACAGCAACGTTGAATTTTAAGTGAAGGAAGTTGAAACCGATTAAATAATTTGGATTAAACCTTGTGCTGATTATTATTTGGATTGGCGGCTGTCACGAGGATAAAACAAAGTGCAGTCGTAGGCGTCGTCGTTTGGCGCAATATGATTGTTTACCTCGCCCATTCTGACATGACCAGTCGAAGACAGCACCCAGTTCTGCTTATTCGCAAGTCATCGACTCGTAGCCGTTATATGGTTGAATGCACCGAAGCAGTTTCCGGTCAATTCATAGCTGAAGTTAAGAGAAAGATTGCCCTTTTAACTCGGTTTGTTTTAATCGTACAAAACGTCTTTAACGTTTCCATTGCGTTTTAGTAATTCACGCTATAATTACCGAGCTGTCACAATTCTAGTAATTGCCTTATTTGTTATAATTTTTGTTTGATTTGTAATTATGAAACTAATGTTGTGATTTTTGGATTCAGTCAAAGTCAGACACTTGGACGCTTTCTACCATCACGTCAAAACCTCCCTCCATCAGTTATCAGAGATTTGATCATTTTATTTCTGAAAAAATTGCCAATCAGTAAATGATTGAAATTGAACAATTTCTAATTTTATCCGTTAGTATATCTGCATCATCACCAAAAGTGCTGTTCAGCGAAAAATATACTAGATGTCCGTTCGGCATCACATTTAAAGTGCACAAATTCGACAGTGGATTAACGTGGCTTCTACGTTCTACGATACCAAACGAAGATGTACCGAAAATGTGGCTCGCTTGCGAGACAACCGCTGAACGTCAAAATTTACAAACAGACGGTCACACCGTAGTCTAAGAACACGCCACGACTATTCGATGATGAATCTATTTGGCTGGTCTCGGAGGTAGTAGGCAAAAAACGGAAAATTCTGAAGTAATAATGAGGCGATTATTGTGCACCCATAACGAGGATAGGCCAGATAACCGATTATCTGCAACATATCATTACAAATTTCTGGCCAATAAGCTCAGCGAAGGGTCCACTAAGATCTTTTGATTCGATAAAAGCTTAAGAGTTTAAACGAGGAGTTGACTTTTTGAGCAACTGTCCTGATGTCATTAGGATATGCATATTTTGAATGGAAAGAGAAAGCACGGTGTCACTGAGAATATTCCAGTTAGCGTAAAAATTATGATCAAGAATAATTTTATTAAAGCAACAAATAAATCTTTACATCTAGACCTGAAGTGAGTCTTGTCCTGATGAGAAGAGAAAGCAAGTTTTAGCCAGTGCCCCAGTGTCAGACGAGCTAGTGCATTTGTTATATCCTGTTTTCAAGCATACGGTATTAAACGATCGTTTGATGAATTAATTACGTCATTATCTAAATCGATAACAGATTTATGATGCGTCGAATACATGATAATTTTCAAAGATACGGATGACAATTTTAAGATGTTTGCTGTTAGTGTTTTTGATGACACTAGCATGTAGGTCAGCCGAACTTGAAGTGAGGGGAAAATTTTTCGGACATAACTAATGTAATATGAATTACAATGACTTTGATAAATCGAGAGGAACAGCCGGTTTATTTATGGACAACCCAATTCTATGATTAATCCGCTGATTCATAATCTGAGGTTTTGGCTAATATATCATGTACTCTTTTCCTCATATGTCTAATGGCAAAATAGGGTTGTTGTTCCGATCGTCTACGGTAGCATGGTTGCTTTGCCAAAAGACTTTCAGTAACGTAAGCCATTGGTTTCTTTGGAATCATTGAAGTTTTTCTGCATAGCAAACATTAATGGCCATTTTTTTCTACTGAAAAAAGACAGATGCTTTGGCCTTCAGACAAATGACTTTTTCTGATGATACACTTAAGATTTTGGGTGGATTCGAACTAAAGTAACTACAACTGACAGTTTATTCTAAGTCACTTTCACAAATTTTTAATCTCATTTATTTATTTTGGCCATATATTCAAGAAAAAATAAAGTTTGT